ATGAAAGGTTAATCTTTCTGTGAGCTCTCATGGAAATTATTACAGTCCATTATCAGCACTTTACTAAAATTTTCCTCAGTGTAAAAATTAATCTTTCCCTCTTCTTGGATAGAACATAAAGGCTGAGATTTATACACCCTTTTAAGGTGCCTTTAAAATTAATGGGAAATGGATGTCCTAATTACCTACATGGCTTTGAAAAATCTCAGCCAAGATGTATAAAAATGCATATACGGTGGCTATCATTAAACTTTTTACAATTTTGCCTGTGCAAGTAGATAAGGATATGATCATATTCCAAATCTATCCTATAAAGTACTTAATAAATGGAATATCTAGGGAACACAGCAGTGTTCATTGTAAATCACTTCCAAAGGCACATATAAAGAGTTCGGTGACGACTGCCTAAGCAACTGAATTAAGTAACAAGAAAGAGCAAAGTGTTTAGGATCTGGTTACTGGCACAACAAGCCATAGCAAAATTGGAGCTATCATATGAGGGGGGTTTTGCTCTGGCCACTTGTGGTCTGAAGTAGGGCAGGGAAGCTTTATACCTGATAGTAATCAGCAGATGAGATGTCTACACTGCAGTCCAGAGGAATGATTACTGCCATGCTAACATAACTAGCTAGATCAGGTACCCATAGATGTGCAGTTGTACCAGCAAAGGCTTAAATGAAATCTGCCCAAGACCCCCCAGGACCCTGGAGAAAGCCATGCACCACTATAGCAATACCACAATCAATGCCCAGGTTAAAACTAGCTCAGTTACATTTACATGTACTAGAATCACACCTCCCTGCGTTGGAGTGCAAGCATACCCCTAAAGTAAACTAAAGAGGAAGAAATCCAGTCATATGGAACTTTTCTGACTAAAATATGCATTCGGGTTTAAATATGATAGTGGGCCCTTCCTCACAGATCCCACCAGTGAGAGTTCAAGTTTACAAAGCAAGCAAGATGCAGCCTGACGGTCACAAACATAATGTTCCCAGCATTAAAGTAACAAATTTACTGTTCCTGTCGATAGAGAGAGACAACAGTTCATATTCCAGATACAGAAGTTATGAATTTCACTAAGGCTGTAATTTTAAACCTATTTAGTTAAGCAAGTACCATCCCTTCTCTGGATACTTATATCAGTTTACAAGTGGTTTATTTTAGCTTATCTTAAATTAATTAGGAATAATTTTAAGATACACCAAAATAAGACTTTGACATAGTTTAGCTATTAGAAACTATTAGAAAAATGATCAGAAAAAAGATGGAGAAGATGGGGATTAGTATAAGCATTGCAAAGTGAATAAGGAATTGGCTGAAGAGGTTGTGTTGAAAAGGTAAGTACTGGGCTGAAAGAAGGTGAGAATTACAGCATTACAGTTTGGAAGGATCCTCGTGATCATTGAGTCCAACTCTTCCACAGAAGCAGGGTACACTGTTCCTAAATCATCACAGAAATGCCTATCCAGCCTCTTCTTGAAAACTTCTGATGACAGAGATTTCACAGCTTCTCTGGGCAGCTTGTTCCCTGGTTTTATTGTTCTGACAACAAGGAAGTTTTTCTCTGATATTTGAACCCATTGCTCCATGACCTGCTGTCTGTGGCAAAGGAGAACAGATGTTCTCCCTCATCTCTATGGAAGCTTTCAAATATTTGAAAAGTTTACTACTGGATAGACAAAACTAGGAGGCATCCTCAGTGCTTAGGTGGATCAAAATGTCATCTCAGATGTGCTGGATTACCTCAAGTTCTGGAGAAAGAGAAACAGGGTAAAATGTAATAGCAAAAACTGCCTCATTTACTTAAGGACTAATAACAAGAATGAATACATGCTCTAGCTGGGAGTTCATAGGTTGGAAATAGGAAAAGGAGAAAGACCTAGGTTTATTGATTGATCATAGAATGACCATGAACCACAAACTTGATGTGGCTGTAAAAAAGGGCAAATGCAGATGTATTCAAGAAAATATGTCCAGTAGAGACAGGGAAGTATTGATGCTATTGTACTCGACCATGGTGAGACACTATCTGGAAGACTGTACGATTCTGGTCTGTTCAAGAAAAAATCATTTAAACTGAAACATTAGGATAAGTATTAGGATGAACAGGGGAATGGGGAACCTAAGATCCTGATCTGTTTAGCAAAGGAAAAGCCTGGAAGGGGGGCACAATTTTTGTCAATAAATACATTGGAGAGGTAAACGTCAGTGACGGGAAAGAATGGTTTAAGCTAAATGACAGTGTCGGCACAAGTGCAAATGGGTATAACCTGGCCGTGACAAAAAGGAGAGTGGACGTGACCAGGAGGCTACTAACCATTGGAAGACAGAGATTCTAGCATAGTCTTCCAGGAAGTCATGCTCCACCAGCTTTACTGGGAGCCAAAAAAAAAAAAAAAAAGGAAACCACTTTTAAAATGGAGCTTCATCAGTTTATGAAAGGGTTTATAAAAAAGGTAACCACTTTTAAACTGGAGCTTCATCAGTTTATGAAAGGGTTTATGTGGCATGGTTGCCTGTGGTAGCAGGAGACTGGACTCAATGACCCCAGATGACCCTTCCAGTCCTATATTCCTATTCCACTTGTACACATAAAAATGCCTGAAGAAGGATTTGCATTGGTTTAACTTAATTTTAAACTAAGTGAAGCTAGTGTACTTCATGAATACAGACCCCATTCAGAAAGTAACTTCAGTGAGCTCATTTGAGTCACCTTGGCTTTTTGCCTGTGGAACTGATCACCAAGTAGTTTTAAGAGAAATATGAACTGGCCCATTCAGAGTGAAACTGGAAGCTGCCTGACATTTTAAATTTCAGCATCATTACCTGTATCAAAGCTGAACATTTTAATACAAACGCTGCAATGCTGCGGGACTGTGAGTGATGAATAAAAAAAGTCCCACTGTTTTTACCCTCTTCTGTTTAATTTTGATCCCTGCTCTTTAATAGTCTGCTTGCCTTCTCCTGGCAGAGTGGCTGGCCACATACTCTTCAGAAGTTACAAGAACCACAACTTGCCCTTGTGGAGATTGCCCAGATCCCTGGGCTGATCACTCTGGAGTTAGTGGGTGTGGCAACTTCCATTTGCTTTCAGAGCAGGGGGTATAGGAAACAAATAGGGAGAGAATGGAAAGTCTTAGCTTAGCCCTCAAACAACATGATCAGCACAGTAGAGCTACAGCAAAGCAGACTGTAATTTGTTGCTGCAGTAGGTTAACAATAAATGACTGTCCCTTGGAGCAAAGATGAACCAGGGAATCATATAAGAGGCCCAATGTCTCCCAGAGCTGCTCCTTAGGTGATACAGCTGCACATTCTCCACCTTGCGCAGAACGGAGCCTTAAGCCACATACACTAGCCCACAGTAATGAACATGGCTCTGGTAACAAAGTGATTGTGGCAGTAAAATGCAGCAGTCATTATGCATTTGGCAGTGGATCCAGCCTTTATATAATTTGCTTTTTAATTGAGGCTGAGAATGTTTTAGCACTTTCTCAAATTGCCTATTATTTATGAGTATGATGCATGATACAAGTAGGATGCATATTAATAAAAATTACATCTCTTGGCAAAAGTCATCTGAAAGAACCCTACTCAACATGCATCTATTTTTCTTGGGAGGTATTCATCTACTTCAAGTGTCTCTGCTCTATTTCACAATGAAATCCAGAGATGTAACAGAATACTGGAAGTCTTTTTGTTAGCAAGGAGGGTTGCAAACAGGCACAGAGATCCTTTCTCCATATAGTTCTTAAATATGCCCATTGGTGTCCACGCTGTCGTAGTGAAACAAACGTCACCTCCTAGCACTACGTGTTCATTCATTTATTGATCACTTCCAATCTGGACCCAAGCATCAATTCCAGCTGAAGAAATGAAAACAAGTGCGGCACTCCAGCTCTGAAGTGTTTGGCCATGGCACAGCTTGTTTCCCATTCCTGTATAAAGGGAGCGATGAAAATTGCTCCCAATTTCTTTTTGCGCTCCAGTGCACCAAGCACAAGCCCAAGTGCTATGGAAAATTATGGGGGAAATAGATGTGTCTACTTCATCAATTTTTAATTGCTAGAGATTGTAAACTCATTCTTTGGAAAATAAATACTTTACTGCCTTGCTCTTCTATTTTCAGCATCCCAATGTATTTGGTTATAAGCTGCTGTTTATTTATAATCTTTTTTTTTATACAGGGGCTTTTTTAAATTGCCGCTTAACGTGGTTTTTTCCCAACGTGCTGCAGTTGCATTACTCCTGGGAGAACTTGAGAAAATGAATTTTGTGTATCGTACGTGGAGAGCGAGAGTGCGAGAAAGCACTACATCGCTTAAATGATAAAACAAGCCTTTCTCAAAAACCTGGGGTTTTTTCTGGTTTTTTTCGCCCTTGTGCCACAGCTATACCAATTAGCACTTTGTGAATTTCTTTATCTAAGATCCAAAATGTAGGACAAGGGGGGTGAATTACCGCCAAACTTTTCTAAGGTATGGAATTGTTGCATTTTAAAAGGAACAAGACTTCCTCCAGCTAGCTGAGCCTGACAACTGATTTAATCTTGCTACTTGTATTTGGGCCTAGGAGCCAAACATGGATAGAATAAGGGGAGGGAAAAAAGAAAAGAAAGCTGCACCTATAATGTAAATTTCATGTTTAATTAGAAGGGCTAAAGAATTGTGGCCAGAAGAAAAAAAACATGTTTCTGTGTAAGTGCTTTTGAATAGCACCGAAGATGAATATAATAAGGCTGACAAATACACCTTGGAGGGTGGCTGCAAGAATAAAATCGATTTATTTAATAATTTAGAAATAGCTTCCAGCCATATCTCCCATTAAATCTGAAGACCATTGTATTCTATATTTCTTTGGTCTTTTTTCTTCCTTTTAGTTATGCTCCACCAGCTTTAATAAATAAGTAATACAGTGAAAAAACCCACTTATCTCAAGTGCTTTGCCACAGCCCTGTAGGGCTTTTGGATTCTTTCCTTCTCTAAATAGATCAAGTCAGGAACAATCATCTCTCCAAGGGAGAGTGATGTTGCGGGGTTAATTCTCCTAAATATAATCAAGGAAGTCCAAAAATTAAATCCAGTGCATGTATTAATGATGATAAGTGATCTGCTCAAGTAAATGACACAGGAAGGAAAACTCAGAGCAACTCCAAAGGACAAATGATTAATCATCGGAACAAACAATTCCTCAGCATGTAAACAGCAGCAAAAAGGTAAGACACTTTACTGGAATTGCTTTAGGTGAGTTATAACAACAACACTTGGTGCTAGGACTGTGTTTTTCAATCCATCATTTGTTTAAACTTAGCTTCTAATAAGTGTTCATACAACCCATCCCTTCCTGCCATTCTTTACCTAAAGATATGTAAGTAATTAAGTTTTTTTTGTTATATATTGTATATTTTAGAAAGCAAATATATTGGACAACTGAGCACTGTTAAGCAACTAAACATTAGGTACTCACCAGTTTATTCATGATTAATCTAATGCAGTCTAGTAGTTTTCAGCAACTATTTTATGCAAAATTTATACTATCAATTCTATAAACAATTCATAAAGTCCAAAATAAGTTTGATAGAGGTTCACATCAGGAGCAAAGGCCAATTTCATTTACATAAGAAAATTAAATTTAAACATGGAAAATAGCTTTTTGTCCACAGAAGTTGGATAATAAAGCCAGTAGTACAGTCAGAGCATTTATTTTGCAAAAATGAATACAGTGATGCAATGCTAGAGCCTTATAACATTATAAAGCATGTTTGAAGATACAGTAGCATTTTGCCTAGAAATAATTCTGCTTTGAATACCTCTTATATGAGGGGTGTCAGACACATTACAGTTCCTGGTCCCTGATCCTTAATACTAGTGGAGACTGGTGCCTTGTTCCTGTTGAAGGTGGCAGCCAGAATCTGATTCTAGTGCTTATTAGGGCTGTGCGAAGCTTCAGCCCCTGATTCGATTCGGCAGAGATTTGGCCCGATTTGGTTGCCGAATCTCCGAATCGAATCAGGAGACCCTTTAATCTCTCCGAATTGAATCAGAACTCTCTGAATCGATTCAGAGAGATTTGGAAAGATTCGGCAATTCGGACATAGACAGTTTTAAATGTTTTCTTTACATACCTCAAGGTACCAGGCGGCTCGTCAATGCTGAGATAGTGGGGTGGATGGAGCATCCCACAGAAGCACAGGGAAGCTCCCCAGCGCACTCAGCAGCAGACCCAGAAGTGGACCAAACGCACTTCCAGTCCACTTCTAGGTCCACAGGGGAGCACACTGGAGGGGCCCCCTGCACTCGCCTGGCTCAGTGACTGGTGCCTCCTCGGTCTGTGGGGGCACACAAAGTACTTCTGGTCCACTTCCGGGTTCACTGCTGAGCACGTTGGGGAGCCCCCCCGTAATCCTTTGGGATGCACCATCCGCCTCAGCATTGCAGTGTTCACAAGCCACACTGGTACCTCAAGGTATGTAAAAAAAAACATTTAAAGCTGTGTCTGTGTCCAAATCGCTGATTCTCCAAATCAGCATCGAATCTTCAGATTCAGATTCGGCCGAATCAAATTGGGAACAGTGATCAGAATCAACAAATCAAATCACTGTCCCCAATTTGGGCCGAATCTGAATCCAAATCGAATAGGTCCCACGTCACACACCCTTAGTACTTATACTTCACCTGAAATGTTAGAGGGGAAAGTTACTGAAGTTCATTACTCCAAAGGTTGCAGGCTGGGGACCATCACCCTCATTTCCTGACACTATGATCTTGTTCATAGTTTTTAACAACAAGATAACGACGAAGCATTAGCATCAAGAGCCCCATCCTAAAACACTGTTTCACGTAGCTTTTGCCAATATATACTGTAGGTATTCCTACTGAATGGATGAGCTGTGCTACTCATCTGAGAAACAGTTTGCATAGCAGGCCCTGGAGAGCAAAGAAGACCTTGTGGGGGGGGGATAAAATGAGTGAAGGAAAAAAAACAATTTTTATTCAGGCACAGACCTACATTATGTGGGCAAACCTGGCTACCCCTTAGATGCTTTAAAACTTTTCATTAATTGGCAGCAGCTCTTTAAAGTTAACTCCTCAGTCCAACAATGCTAAGCAGAAATAAGCTTCCCACGCGTTATTTTAGCCTTGAATCGTCTCACGCATATTTTGGCCTTGAATCTGCAACTAGAGAGTGAGAATCTGGACATAGAGCTGGGAACATGATACTATTTCCATGAGTGCTGAGAATGGCTATCAGTTTGTTTCTAATTGGCAATGCAGAGCTTAAAAAGTGGTTCACAGGGTAAGTATCACAATTAGGATCTCTCTCTCTCTCTCTCTTTAGACAGCCATTTTCCTTCTAGTCCATGCTGCACAATTACTCAGCTTTCTGTGAGGTTTGCAGAGGGCCCAAGACTCCCTGCCTCTTGTCATGAAAGGACCATGCCTAAACTTTAACCTTAGTTCAGTCTATATGGGACATCTTCTGACACTTGCCCTGGCAGTCCTTGACACAGAAAAGCTTCCAGATTCAAAATGATGGTATTTTTCACTGGAAATCTCGATGTGCTTCAAGAACATAAGAACTGCCCCTGTGTCAGGCTACAGGTCCACCTAGTGCAGTAGCCCATGTCTGACAATGGCAAGGAAAGGATACTTTAGTGGAAGAATATAGCTAAGAAAAAGTTTTAAAAAATGAGTCAGGGCTTGTCTTAGGCTTATAAGGCCCGCAGCAATCAATGTAAAAGGAGTGCTCACATCCTCCTCTCGGTTACAAAAACTGCAGCCTTTACCAGCATTTCCTCCATTAAGTGGCCCTTGAGACCATGGTGCCTAAGGCCGGCCTGTTAAAACCGTAAGTAATACTGAAACCAATTACTGTCCTTTTGTTTTAGGGCCTTGCCAGAGAATACAGAGAATCCAGGCTCGAAGAGTGAAATAAAGAGCAGAGCTAGAAAACCTCCTTCACCGCTTCTCCCTCCCAAGTGCCCTGCTTGTTTCTCTGAGCTAACACAGCAGAGTGCCCTTGTGCTGGTGAGAGGCACAGGCAGCACAACATATTTCAGTAACCCTGATTACCCTTTAGAGCCGAAGAAAAGAGGAGGTGAGCTTTGTGTCCGGTGCCTGCGCAGGGGTGTTTCTTCTCCCTTGTTTCTTTAGGGGCTGGCTCACTGCTCTTGTGTGTGACCTGTAGGAGCTCAAAGAGAGGGAGGAGGAGGAGGAGGAAGCACTGCTGAAGAAAGCAAAGAAGACAAAAGTGCCTCCACTGCTCCTGCCTCTGCTGTGGCTGCTATGGGAGCTGCTTAGGAGGAAGAGGCATAAAGCCCCACGGACATTACCATTGAAAAGTCATTAGGAATCTGTCCCCAGCACAGATTGCAGCCCCCCTCATTTCCAACACGCACAAGTGCATGGGTGCGGGGTTCCCCCCCATACTGATAGAAATGAACTGGAAAGGGGGTGGGTGGAGCACAAGGCAGAAGGGGGAGAGGGGGGGTTGGTTACAAAGTTTGCCCCTCCCTTTATTTAAAAAGTTTTATTCATGAGTTGTTAAGCATTTTGTTTAGCAAATCGGTTTATCCCAATGACCTTTCCTTGCTTTAATTTTCGAGATGGCAGATGGCACTAAAGAAATCCCCTTAGATGCAGACCCAGACCCAGCCTGTTTGTTCACACAGTGGACAAGCATCAACATGCCAAGCACAGCTCTGGAGACAAGACAAAGTAGTCAAGAAAGAAAAGGAGAGAAAAAAAAAAGACTACACGAACTCCAGGTTTGCTGTTTCTTATTTTTAATGACTGTGAACTTTTTTTTCTGCTGCAGTTTGCAAACACCCAGTCATTGCTGTTTGCACACTGCTAGCTCTCCAGGAAGGAAGCCCTTTCAACTTCATACCCTGGGGTCTCCCCTACAATATTTGAGGATATGAACACTTGAGGGTTGTAAAACAGTGCCAAGGGACAGGGAGTGAATGTGGTAACTGCAGAAAAAATGTGAAGGGAAACTGCAGCCTGCAATAGCCAAGCTGGTTACTTGCACCTGTATGAAAATACAAATGGGAACAGTGTACCAGGAGAAAGAGCTATATAGCTTTTAACTCCTTGTTCAGTCAATAGACCCACAGTATCATCCAACACCATCTGGTCCATATACTGTACAGCAATTGAGAGATGCTGTCTTACCAGAGCTCTTCTACACTGGGAACCCGAAAACAGAATTATAAATGTGAGAACAGAATATAAAATATTACTCAGGATATTATTCCCACCTGTTTTTTGGTTTTTAGTTGTTGAGGGGGTTCACAGTAAATGATTGAGACCTCTTCCAGGAAGCTCAGGGAACGGTCTCTTTGGCTGAATAAATTCAAATTTAATAAACATTACCTCACCCTTCTATTTACTGGAAGTCACTTCGTTATTTGGTAAATTCATGAGAACATATTAATCTAAATGAACCATCTACTTTTTTTCTATCTTTCACAATGTAAGCAAAATGCTTTTTAGACCTATCCTTATCCCAAGAGCAGCACACCAAAGAAGCGGTACAAGGACACCCTAAAGGTGTCCTTAAAGAGTTTTGGCATCGACCTGGAGTCATGGGAGCAAATCACTCGTGACCGTCCATCCTGGAGGTCATCAGACCAGAGTGGAGCACTGGCCTTCAAGCAGCAGTGCAAGGCAGAAGCAGTGAGGAAGCGCGTGGCCAGGAAAACAGGGACCTCTTGAGTCCAGTCCTCATCGCTCTCCTGCCACTGCTGCAGCAGATACGTACCCACGTGACCTAACCTCCACCCCCCTCCTCACTCTTTCTTTTCTCGTCTTTCTCCTTTTTCCTCTCTTTCTCCCTTTCTTTTTTCTCCCTCCCTTTTTCTTTCCCGCTTCCTTTCTCTCTTCTCCCCCTCCCTCCACTGCTGGATGCGGTCATCTTGACTTGCGAAGGACAAACAATGGGATGTTGTTTGTCCTTCGCAAGAGGCAAAGTATTTACTGTAATCCAGGTAATTTGATTTCATTGTAATTTGCTTTGTGTTGAAAAAGCAGAGAAAGAAAAAATGTTTGAGAAGATTTGAAGTGAAAAAATGCACCAAACTTACAAGCCACCGAATTTCACATTCAAAGAGTTGGCTTGTACTCATTGGCAACGCGTAGGGGGGTGCATGCAGATGCGGGCAGTCGCCGCTCACCACCCCACCCCACCCCACCACCAACACTGCCAGTGGTGTCTGTGGGTGGTCGCCCCCACCCCCACCCCACCACTGAGAGCGCTATAGCCGCCTGCGGGAGCTCCCTGCTTACCACCGCCACGCTCCCACTGCCAACAGGTCCTATTGCAAATATGTGGCCCAAATGCAGAAAAGCATGTAAGCGGATACTTAAGTAGATGAGTTATCCCATTGACTTCAGTGGGGTGTGCATGCTTAATTGCTCTGCTGAAACGACTAACATTTTACCCTTTTTGGCCCATAGCCAGATTTTAACCAATGATTATTAATTATCAAATTTAACCTAAATGATTATTGATTTTAGCTCAACTGTTATTATCCAATGATATTCTGTGGCACTAGTTTCCTAGAATAGATTGAGCTGAGCAGACTCATGCCCTTGTAAAGCCAATAGGTGTGTCTGCAATGGAGAATTGCAGGAGAATAACTAGAGTGGTGCACACGCAACCATGGTGTATGGTCGATACAGCCTTTGGCAGCAGCACTCACAGTGAGGATCGTCACTTATACATTTATGCCCCCTTGCCAGCATGCCCAGCACAGAGCCCTGGAACAGATCCATGGTGTCTAGTAAATATTGTATCTATTTGCAACTCTACCCTTGTGG